AATCAAGCGACAGCTGAAAGCCTCGTCCAGTAATGGAGTCTCTTCTGCTTTTTGTGATAATAGATCATTTGTTTGAAATGGAGCTTTATCCTTTCATGTTTCCACATCACTTCCTGACCCACGTTCAGAATCATTATATCACTATGAAACAGATTAAAAAATCTACAATAGCCCAAAGTCGGTCTTCAAGGGCCGACATCCTGCATGTTTTAGTTCTCTCCCTGCTTTAATGCTCCTGGATCCAATAATGGCTTATTAGAAGGCCTAAGAAAAACATTGACATGCTGAAAAGGTTGTTACTTCCACCAGGGTAGATGAACAAACTTTAAGTCCTTTTCTTTATAACTTTTTTTTATTTCTCATGGAATGGTAAATAATACCACAATGATCTCCCTGACTAAGTTAGACAACTTAGTCAACTTTCTAAGTTAGAAAGCTGATAGCTTTCCATTTTGTCATCAGGTGAGCAGGGTTAAAACCACCAAGTTAGCAACCCCTTTAGCTTCAATTGCTAGAATCGCATTTTCAGATGATCTGCAGAGATCATAAGATTGACAATAACTAGACACATAGCAACTCTTAGAGGTTTTCTTTTAAACTATCGCTCCATTCTCACTGAATTACATGTCCCTATTTTTAAGTTGAAATGCTGAAGCAGGACCAGCAGCACATCTCTTGTGAAAATGCTTCTTATCTGTTTCTTTGTGTGATGAGGGTGGATCCAGAGGGTGAGCATTGTGCATTTACAAATTTAGCACCTCTACAGGAATCATAAGTATGCACATCTTCACCGTCATAAACTGCCATGAGAGAGGCAGGGAATTGCACAGATTCAAGCGTAGAACGATTCTGCATATCTGTGCGTGCGTGTGTGTGTGCGTGCGAGTGTGTGTGTGTGTGTGTGTGTGTGTGTGTGTGTGCGTGCGTGTGGGCGCGTGTGTTGCACATCTTGGTAAACAAACGGCAAAATGTTTCCCTCTCGCCGCAGCATGATTTAAGTAAATAGGGACACTTTCTGCCCAGCAAAGCAGCTATCAAGCATCTTCATAAATGTTTCACCGTTCTTCTGGGGGGCCACGTGTGAGGGAGGGAGGAGGGGTGCATTTATCTCCACAAAGACATCAGGGAGCTCCAGGCTCGAGGGGAAATCAGCAGGCCACACTGCCGATGGGGAGATACGCGTCTGTGTGCATGTAATGTGGCTTGTACGCAGAAGAAAGGAGAAATACGGCGGGTTCATTTCACCAATCAGGCCCCTCTGTGGTCAGAGGCTGTGCGCTCACACCACCTAGTGGCATTAGGGCCGGGAAAATGTGACAAAACAGCAGAACGTGTTCATTCTGTCTGTGCACAATGGAATTAGAAAGAACATGTCAAATATCACTGCCATAGAGACCATAGATTGTTTTGTTGTTGTTTTTTTGGGGGGGGTTTGAGGCAACAAACACTAGAGAAACAATAAGCCTATATATGCGCCATAAAACTGGCCTTTTAAAGTGGTCATATATATATATATATATATATATATATTTTTTTTTTTTTTCCCTTCTCACCCACCGCGGGTGGTTCTTATCCTCTGAGCTCGGGTCCTCTACCAGAGGCCTGGGAGCTTGAGGGTTCTGCGCAGTATCTTGGCTGTGCCAAGGACTGCACATTTCTGGACTGAGATGTCTGATGTTGTTTCTGAGATCTGTTGTAGCCATTGATCCAGTTTGTGGTCATCGGGGCCCCGAGGGCCCCGATGACCACAGGCACCACTGTGGTCTTCACCTTCCAGGCCCTCTCCAGTTCTTCCCTGAGGCCTGGTATTTCTCCATTTTCTCATGCTCCTTTTTCTGATGTTGCAATCACTTGGTATTGCTACATCTACCACAACGGCTTTCCTCTGTTGTTTATCCACTACGACAATGTCTGGTTGGTTCGCCATTACCATTTTGTCTGTCTGGATCTGGAAGTCCCACAGGATCTTAGCTCTGGTGTTCTCCACCACCTTTGGGGGTGTTTCCCACTTTGATCTTGGGGTTTCCAGTCCATATTCTGCACAGATGTTTCTGTACACTATGCCTGCCACTTGGTATGTCGCTCCATGTACGCTTTCCCTGCCAGTATCTTGCACCCTGCTGTGATGTGCTGGACTGTCTCAGGGGCCTCCTTGCACAACCTACACCTTGGGTCTTGTCTGGTGTGGTAGATCTGGGCCTCTATTGCTCTGGTGTTTAGGGCCTGTTCCTGGGTAACTTGGATTTGTTGAATATATATATATATATATATATATATATATATATATATATATATATATATATATATATAGATAGATAGATAGATATAAAAGCATGCACAGGAGAGAGGAGAAACTCATGCACAAGTGTTGAGCCATAAAAAAAAAAAACTGTAGCTGCAGACAGAGAGGAGGATCAAAGGATGAGCACCGGGAAGCTGCAGGAATCGGTTGTAGTCCTCCGCCTCAGGAAGCAGAGCTTCAATAAGATTGATTGTGATTGACAGGTGGGAACCGTGAATCCCCCTGTGCTCTTCACTCCCCCTGCCCAGGCCCACTACCCACTCCTCCCCCCCCCATCCCCCTCTCCCCTTCCCCATCCCCCCCTCCCTCACATTCTTGGACATCCTTACCAATCTACTTAAGCTGTGCAAACGCCTGCGCCTTTCTCCTTGCGTTTCCTCGTCCTCTCCCTTTGCCATCATCCTGAGGCGCTCCGAGCCGCTGCCGTCCTCCAAGCGGAGCCTTTGCCTGGTGGACTATATATAGGAAGGAGATGAAAGGCAAGGAGATGTGTATGGAGGTGCAGGCCATCAATATTCAAGTCTCTCTCTCTCTCTCTCTCTCTCTCTCTGTCTGTCTTTGAAATTTAAATTTCCTCCACCAATAAACTCCGATGGTGTTTGCATGCTGGGCAATGAGACGTAAAGACGTAATTACACGGTATTGATGCAATGTTTACAACACAAACTGCCTCTGCGAGTCCCGTCAGCTCCTGATGGCTCAGATATTTTTTTTTTTAAACCGCCGCGCTTGTTGCATCACTGTTAACGCAGCTGTCTCCCGTCGCCTCTTTTTGTTGCCACACGGCACATTTCCATAAACCCCCCTCCTCCTCTTCCTTTTCAGTCCCGGAGCGATTTGTAGGGCGACTCTCGGCGAGCGACTGCAACAGGAATCCTTTGTTTCCAATATCCATCAGTCAGGTGAACTGAGAGGCCGCGTCCACAGACTGTCACTGCTGAGTGCAGTTAAGAATGCCGAGCACAATCTGGAGCCTCCGCGCCTGGCAGGCGGTTTGTCTGGGATGAGGAGGAGACATGGGAATGGACTTCCAGTATTTATTGGCACCCTTGGCAAATGTGTGGAAAAACCCAGGATGGAAATGCATCTTATGCTGGATGGCTTTTTTGTTGTTGTTGTTGCTGTTGCAATATCTGACCAGTTTTGTGTAGATTTACTCAGTTCAGATACAAATTCAAGAACATCTCTCATATGATTACGTTGGGTTATAATTTTAATCTAGTCTCCATAAACTTTAGGGGGCAGAGAGAAACAACATTTTACTAATTAAAATGAACATTTTTAAACAATATGGCTTCTTTACTCACTGCATCACATTCCAAGGTCTGTTCATTTTGATTATTACGGCTCACAGCTAATGAAAACCTCTCGGAAATGTTAAGGCCCTTAAACACAATTCAAGAATGGTACTTTCAGACTGCCAGCCACAGGTGGTTGAAGCAGATAATCCCTCATTTAAAAACAATAAAATAAATGTTTTAGGTGGTTATGGCATCATTTACCCTCCAGGATGGAGTTTTGCACACACCGCGTTTCTTTCCATGCTGGTGTGTTGGACTGCTCGGTTGAAGGTTGCCGTTTTTTTTAAAGGGGTGCTGATGTTTTCCCGATTTAGGAGTGACTGGCTGAAGCGGTCACTTGTTCTGAGAATAAAACGGCACGCGTTCAGACGAGTCCAGAGGCAGAGGACCGCGTTGTCTCCAAGCCAACGTAGTTTGACATTTTTCTGATGTCAAATTCAACAAATTTGACATCAGTGAGTGAAGCCTTTAAAAAAAAAAAAAAAAAACAGATATGGACAAGTTAAATTAAAAGTCAAGTGCTTTGTGTTTATCTTAGTTTTTTTGTGTTTCACAAGTGCCTTGCATTCATTTTACTTTGAAGTGCAAAGAACACAATTGAGTAAAAAATAAAAAAAGGACAGTACTCAAATCTCAAACGTTTGTGGCTTGAACTGGACAACTTTGACGTTGCGGGGTTAAAGTTTGGACAGCACTGACGTGCTGAAGGGAGCGTCAGAAAGATCCAGAGCTTCTTAAAGAGACAAAATCCCATTTTCAAGGCCTAAAATTACAGAGTCAAATTTCTTTTACGTCATGATAGATATACATAGCATTTTTATAACAACTGTAAGTGAAAGTTACTTGATTGTGCTTTGAATGGACACCCTTTAAGACAGTCCTGAACCACAATGTCCGAAGTATGTAACCTGTAAAAGAGGAGGAGGTTTTGGACTGTTGCTCAGTGGTCCGAAATCCTCCTTTCAGATGAAACTATGAATGTAATGTGAAAAGCGAGGTCCCAAAGTCTGGAGGACGGTGATGATTTAGGGAGCCACGGCTTAGTCTGGTGTCGGTCCTCCGTTTTTCATCAAGTTGTACATCAGAGCAGTCTTCTCCCCAGGGAATTTTGAACTCAATGTTTCACTCCGACAAAGAGCTCCAGAGAGACGCCGATTTTGTCTTCCAGCTGGACTCGGTACTGGCTTGCCCTGCCAAAAATACCAATATCTCTTCTTCATTGGCCAGCAAAATGACCTGGGCTAAAACTAAAGAGAATCAAAGAATATAAAAGTGCCATAAAGCGGAAATTTAAGGCTTTTGAAAAAAATCTTTACCAATTAAGTGTCAAGGGTTCTTCATGTCAGCAACAAAACAAGAAAGGCAATAAAGGAAAAATAACAAAAACACACGCCATATGTACTGAAAGTAGCAATTTTGTTCCATTTTCAGATACAACTATTTACATGTAACCAGAGACTATGTTCTCAAAACAGGTACAAACAGTTTTTTTGTTTTTTTTTTAATCTTGCAATTATTGTTTTGGATTTTTTTTTTCTCAAACAACTCAGAAATATAGTATAAAATAAGATATCACCTAGGAGTGGGGTGCAGTAGAGGGTGGGGAGAAGAAGAAGAAGTCTACGCATTTTAAATGTCCAGTAACGTATATGTACACGAGTATTTACATTCTAAAATTTCCTTTTAGACCAAAGTTTTGCAAAGTAGTTAACAGTAAACACAGCCATGTTCACCGCAGCCCTACAAAACCAGATCAAACGGATGTTTATACAAGAAGTATGGCTGTAACCTGGTTCAAACAGGAGAGCAGTTCACGACGAGAGGCTTTTCAGAGTATCGGGTGGACGATCACGGCTGAAACGACGGCGAAGCAGAATAAATAAACGCCGGCTTCGTACAAGGAGTCCAGAGCCGAACAAATCGTGACGATGGACTAAGGGAAAGCATGAAGCTGCATCCAATCGAGTTTCTTAATCAAAAATTATATTTTGTTAAAACTTGGGCCACAATCTATAAATTTTCAAAAAAAAAAAAAAAAAAAAAAGAATCGGTCATATGATTATATTAAAAGACAAACAGTCCAGCTCAGCAAAGACTTTGCATTTTACACAACGAGGAGAGGAAACATTAAATTAAATACAATTCTTAAAATTATTTCATTGCATTTAAAAACAATCATCTGGAATAATTCATTATGTGCTATAGTTGAGAAGAGTTAACCACGCTGTTGGATTAGTTGACTTTCAAATTAAAATAGACACAGATATGGGCGACAACGACACAAATCCAGGATGGCGTGTCGTTTCGGTCTCAGTCAAAGCTCATCCTGATCGCTTCAAACATAAGAGAGAAATGTCCTACAGTTTTTTTTTAAAAAAAATAGCTAAAATTGTGTTTGAGAACAATTAAAAACTTAAAATCAAAACCTAAAAATAACAACAACAAAAAAACCATTTCCCTTAAACATTCAGTCTAATTGTGAATATCAGTGGGGAGGGGAGAGAAAATAAAAATTGACGGATCGCATTCAAAATCATTCCACGCTGTTTACATATAGACATCATTCTGAAGTCCATGAAGATGATTGATTTCCCTGCTGATCAATTATTTCACCCTTGGCTTGGACGTGAACAGGCAGAGATTAAAATGTAATGATCCATAAAATCTGATTCAAGGCTTCGCACACTCGAGCTGCGTAGCCAGAAATCAGAACCTGACAGCCAACACGGCTCCTCCTCGGCAGCTTGTTGTCGTCGAACGATCCGCTTCAAGTTCGTTTCCAACGACTCATTGTTTACCAATCTCACGGGATCTTTTAGCAAATAATAATCTGTGCAAATCACAAACAAGTATGAATCTGGACATGAAATGTGGAGTCTGATGAGAGAACTTGGAGAAAAAAGAAAAAAAAAAAAAAGAGGGAATCAACACGTCCGTCAGCTAACAGGGCTTTGGTTCAGGCTGTGCTCTGGAAAGGGAACTGTAGCTCTGTGTGAGTTTACACGCAGCGCATCATCGGTGTGAGCGTCGATGGGCGGTCGGATGAGGTCGTGGGAGTGTGACATCAACGGGAAGGGGATCTTGAACCCTTAAAGTGTGCAGAAGAGTGAGTTCGTTGCGGTTCATCGTGTGTTAACAGTGTTCCAGGTAGTCGATGACCCGTGAGATAGACTTCTGTCCTGTGGTGCCCATTGCACACTGTGTGGGGAGGCATGGAGGAAGGAAACAGAAAGTGTGAGAACGCAAACATTTGCAGATTCAAGTTTGAAATGCATCTCCAATAAAAATGCTTTGAAAAAGTGGAACACATGGTTCCAGTCACCCGTTCCGACGAAACGAATCGCATATGAAGCTGCTTCAAAACCACAACATCTGGGACCAGAAATGGCTCAATAAATAATAATCTAATAATTGGCCCTATTTTTCTTCATTTATTAGTTCTTGAAATATGCAGCTTGGTCACGCAAGAATTTATGAGCTCGATCGCATTTTGTATTTTAATGCCATGAAAGCTACTATAGGCCATGTGAGCCGTTTTAAAACTTCTGGAGAAACAGTTTTACTTCTCATGGAAAAATGACTCAAAAGGAGGACTGAAATAATTTACTGAGAATCACAAAAAGAAAGACAGAAAGAAGGAAAGAAAGAAAGAACGTCAGTGGCTCTCAGAGTGCTTTTCTCGCCCACTTTACAAAAAGGTGCTTTAATGTGTGGTGCAAAAATAAATGCCTTTTCAACTAGCCAAATGCCAAGGACCGAATCAACAGCTGAAGATATTCAAATAAAAATCTTCACTTCAAAAACTTGTTCATTTTTACTGTGTTATTGCTTGTAAATGATTTTGTACCCTCTTGGAGGAAAAGTTTCAACTGCGCATGGGCCAGTTTCTGGGATACTAAAGTCTTAAAAAATTTACTGCTCAAAAAACCTCTGTTAATTTTCCAATGACTTTAAACAAAGTGCCAGAATAATCCACATGCTTTCGCTCTGCATACTTATCTAATCTCCATCTGCCCCCCTTCCCAACCTGTTTATGCACAGTGGCTGTTGCTTCGACACTTTTTTCCTTCCTGTCAAAAAATATGTCACGTGTTTGGAAAGTCATGATGTGGAAAAGAAATCCCTCTGCTTTTGAAAGGACACTTAAATCTACAGGCAGCTTGTCTGTAAAGTAGCTCACGAGTTAACCAGCCAATATGAGCTTATGAGAATCGTAAAGAGAAGAAAGGAGCAATGATACTCTCCATCATAACATTAGTTCAATTCTCTGGCTGAGTTCCCACATATTTTTTCATTTGAAACATCCATAATTTCCCTACTTCAAATAAAAATTTTCTTCCTGCAGTTTTTATAACATTCTGGATATTGAGGAATAATAATTTAAAAAAAACCATTAGCTCTCTGACTCGTTACCAGCTCTAATTATTTGGCGGCTCAAAAAACCATCAAACACCACAACGTTGACATTTATAGAGCAATTCTATATTATTTTATCAGAAGTGGGAATAATTATTGCATTTCTATAATTAAAATATCCAGATCTTGCTTTAATCTTTGTATTAAACCTCTCAAATTTCCACCTTGACGTTGTCACCCTGTGAGATTCTCATTCAGGGCCCCGACGGCATCGCACCATTCCGACACCGAGCGAGTTCCCGCACGTTTCCGCATTGACCCTTTTTGCGCCGTCACCTCGCGGGTCATACTCACAGTGAGGTTCATGAAGCTCAAGAACTTCTTCAGCATTTCTGTCATTATAGAGAAATCCCCTTTAGGTAGGTGCAGTCTCACAGTAGTCACATTTGTCTGGGGGAGGGGAGGTGACACGGAGAGGCCAGTGATCAACAACTGAGACGTTTTCAGGAGCGAGAACAGAAGACCCCGGAAAGGAGTGTGTGAATGTGCGTTAGTCATAGGCTCACCTGGCTGCCCTGACAGAGGCAGCCCAGTAACAGAGCTGTGTAGGAGGCGACGATGCTGTCCTCCATGTGTTTGCCCGCGTGCTGCAGAGCTGGAACGAAACGAGGGAGAGTTTTATTCTCAACCGCGATCGCTCGAATGCTTAATAATAGACACGTCGAATGAAATATGCGCAAAAATTAAGTTACGTCTGTAATTTTTCGAGGCTTCTTAATCAAACGCTGTAATGGATTTTACTCTTCATAATCACTTACTGTAATTGGAAAGCATAGGATGCAATTAAGCTGAAGCTATGCTACAGAATCGAGAGCGTATGATTATGAAACGAAGGAGCATGTTAGATTGTAAACGCCTACCTTTATTTAGGTCCAACTCTTCGTCCTCTTCCTCTTTCTTTTCAGCTTGGCTGTCGTTCGTTTCGGATGCTACCCACTGGATTTCTCCTGATGTCTCCTGCCACTCGCCGCTCTGGTCCAGGGCCGGCTTAGGGGCCTCGCTGATGAGGTCGTCCGTCTTCGCCTCGGCCAGGATGGCGGCACGCTCCCGCTCCAGGAAGAGCTGGAGCATTGGCGGGGAGATGACAGAGGTAAGTCGGACGGGGAAAACTAGCAGAAAAGGCTACATGCAGCTGTAGAAGACAATAACTGGAAGATAAATGCAGAGGAAAAGGGATTTTGATACAAAAACATAAAAACAAAAAAAAATCTCCAATTCTCAGTTTATTTTAAAAAAAGAAAAAAAAACTTCAGGTGAATTACCAAAAAATAAATAAATAAATAAATAAATCTTCAACAACCATAATTTGTGCAGAAGTTTTAAAGCTGTAAGATGAAATTATGAAGGGAAGGTTCAACTTCAGAAAACATTTTTTGAGGCAGTTGTTTGCCCTCCACAGTTGCACAACAACTACCCCACAAAACCACCCTGGTTCCCTGGTATGGAGGAAGTATTTAAATATGACCTTAAACTTTCAAGTTGAAGTTTTGTATTTGGAATGGTCCAAAGCGATTTACATGAGTTACATTTTCTAAAAAAAAACTCACATCTCTGTCTAGTTTATAGTCGTGTCTATTGCCTTGAACTAGATTAGATGCATCCTGCTTTCAGCCATTTGTGGATTCAAAGAGAGTAAATCCTGCTGCTGTTTCGGCTCTTTAAGGACTGACATTAACTTTACTAAACTGCTGCTAATGTTGCGCATTTATTCACAGCTTAGAGGGATTTACTTTTTCTCCAGAAAAGTAAATGTTAATCCGGCACAGATGCAGGAATGCAAATGTCTGCATCTGCAGAATATACATTTGTTAAATCCTTACGGTTACGTCTTTGCACAAATGTTAAAGAGATTTCACACAAGTTGTATATGGAAGACGAAGAAAACTACGTCTTCTGTTTGTGTTATATAGCTGAAAAAAAATCAAAGGTCTTCATTTTCCTGTCATTTTCTCGGTTCTGTGCCTGCGGAATATGACATTAAAATCAACATAAAATGTAGTTATTAATTTCTCCAAAATTTGGCAGGCGATGGGCAACGCTGACTGGGACCTTTTGAAAAAGAGTTTTAGTTTTCTTTGTTTTATGTTGCAGCTCTTGCTCACACAAGAAAGCTTTATAGTGAAATAAAAAATAATAATAAAAATGGAGATTTTTTGTGATGTATACATCTACACTGGATTAGACGTCCACAGATTGTTAAAAATGACCTTAGAGGTCTTCCTCACACATTTCCACCGTGTCTTTCTGTGCTGGTAACCAACAGCTAAAATAAAAGTGTTTTTCGGGGGATTGTGTCACATCTGTATTGTTCTGTCCTGACTATTTTTCCACTCAATTGCAAGCTGGAAAAGGAAATCGTTTCAGAGAAAACACAGGCTGCGAGAGAATATATCCTTTTATATGGATATTCAGAGTAGCTGGGGCTCGAAGTTGATGTGGAGAAACAATTTTTTATTTTTTTTAAAGCCAAAAAAAAACTCAAGTAGCAGCTATTGGAGGAGCTAGTCACAACACACAGACCAGCACAGATTAGGATTTCTGGGTTTATGGGGATAAAAGTTCAGGGAAGCATTAAGAAACATGCCCAAATTTAGCAACTTGAACTGTCCAAGCTGTGAAAATGATGTTCTGTGCAAAGCGGAGAAACACGGCTCACCTGCTTTGCTCCAAATTACCTCAGCAACGTTCTTAGCATATTCCAGTTTCCTGTAGACGTTTTTCCATTCTTTGATATAAACTACAATGACAGGTGGTGTCTTAACACATTGTAGCAGTTTCTACCTTCACCAGGGCAGCCAGCGCTCCAGAAGGCTTCGGCACGTCCAGCTCATCTCCTTCAGTCGCGGCTGACTGTTCCGCCGCCATCGTCGTCGCCGTCTCCACTTGCGTCGGATCAGCGGGCTGCATCAGGCTGTCTTCCAAACACGTGTCATCCACCATGTACTCCATGTCCACCAGACAGTGGCGGTTTCTGGAGCTGTACTCCACAAGGTTAATTAGCAACCCCAAACCCTGATGTGCATAGATAAAAAGCAACACAAACCGGAGAAAGCACGAGTCAGGAGGGGATTAATTGTGTTGTTTTGTTATCGGCTGGAAGGCAGGGATGTTTTTCCTCGGAAGAGTCTTACCAACACTCGGACGTCAAAGCGCTGCTCCTGTGGGATGTAGCGCGGCACTCGGAGGACACAGTTGAGCGCGGTGACTATCAGCTGTTCCTGCTCGCCCGTCTTGGTGCTTCCCCACTCTGCAAGCAAAAGAATCGATCGTTTAGCCTCTGCTTATGCCAAGAAACCAAACCCTGCTGAGTTGTTTTATTTCAGTAAACCTTCAGGGTTCCACTTTGTCCTTAATGATACAATCTAAAGTGAAAAGCACAAGAATACACTGTAAAAACTATAAAATCTTAAGTAGTTTGGTGTAACTCTGAGTGCAAATATGTTAGTTTTGTCTCATTTAAAGTGTACTAACAAGTAACTTTTCCGCAAGATACATTTACTTGTTTTAAGTCAACAATTCCTTAATACTGATGAACAAATAGTACTTTTCCATCTGTTCTGGTGAACTGCCAAGAAGCCACTCCCCTTTTGCTGCTTCTTTGTGCTCTGCCTGCTACGGATGAGAACCAGGTGGAGTCAATCTCCTGGCAATCGAAAAGTGTATTTTAGGTGTGGCTGACCTCTCACTCTTGTTTGAGAAAGTGGCACAGCATGTGTGGCAAACGGTGCTGATCGCATGCAAGGTGCAAACTGTGCAAATCTTTAAAAAACTGTGAAGGACAGCCGGTAAGCTCCTAATACTGTTTTACATGATTGTTTGATTGTTTTAATGGAAAAAAAAAAAAAGAAATGTATATATTTATATGCACTTTGTTTATTGGTCAAAGCAGAACAAATATTGATAAAAAATGCTAATTTATTTGTTTAATTTTACTATAAAATGCTTAATATTTATTATGCTGTAGAATTAAATGACTTAAATCAGTGGAAATTTATTTAGGATTTTCACAGTGTATTTGTCCTGTTGAGTTCACAATGTAATTTAGATGTTTCTGTTTCTTTTGAGGGTTTTCACCTGTATGATTGGAGCATCATATAAAAATAAATATAACTAAAATGAAGATTCTTTGAGTGAACCCCAGTTATATTTCACAAAAGAGATCATCCTTTACAAGTTGGGAATGCACGGTGAAATCAAACCATGAGAAACTTGTCACCATCAATTTTAAGAAATTGACTGGTTGAGGTATTTCCACTTGAAACTGGTCCAAAAATACTTTATAAGATTTTGTGTTTTTGCAGCGTATGTTAAAATGTAATAAAAACAATAGTATTCTTGTCTAAATAATCGCCTCTTGACAGAAGCTAAGGTGACGTTAATCTACCGTTATCGTGAGTGAGGTTGAGCAGCACCCCTATGACGGCTCTCATGCAGTCCTCCACCGCCTTGCCCACGTTGCTGAAGCTACAGTGTGGCAGCGTGACGCCCGCCGCCGACGACGACAGGGAGCTGTTGTTTAGCGCCCGGCTGTACCGCTGGATCATATCTTCGCAGTAACGCAGCGCTCTGACAGAAAAGAGGAAGGCTTTTGTTAGAGATCGTGAGACGTGAAATGACAGAAGTGGGGCAGAAAATGAAAGATTAATGCTGGAGAAAGACGACACAATGACGTAAAGCAGGGAGATCAAGATTTTACTTTTTCTAACTGATTTAATTTGTCAACGAGCGTCAAGTTTTAGACGAGCCTAGATAAAACGGCTTGAATCCAGCTTTTGCCATCATTTGTAAGCAGAGGCCTTCGCCTTCTTTTCTTTTGGAGCAATCCTGTGACCGGCTGTTGAACCTAATATATTTCACTGGAAATGTAGGCTGCTTACCATTTCAAGTTTGAAAAGATTACAAAAAAAGAACTCAAAATTGAGGTCACAAATAACATTGCCACTAAACTTTGCCAGGCTCTTTGAGTCTAAAGTCACAAGTTTATTTGAAGGATCAATCAAACTTTATTGCAAATCATTTTAGTTGCAATTGCAAGTAACATGGTAAGTATATGGAGCTAAAACGGTCTTATAATTCACAAATGCCCAGAACAAGATTCACACTTGTATTTTTGATGAAAACACAAATGTATATTTATTTCCAAACTGCTTCTTGCCTGTGAGTTGCGCTGGATTTGTGTGTGAAGTTTGAGAGGAACTCTGAAAAAAACCCGACAAAAAAAGGCTGGAACCGTCGGAGCTGAAATTCATTATGAGTCCTGGTGAGTGACTAAAAGTATTCAGGTAACTCAGACATCAACCTGAGCTCACCTGGCAGAGGAGACGATGAGCTGCGAGTTTTTGTAGGCAATCAGATAACCCTGGTTTTCTGGGTTCTGCACAGTCACCTGTTAGCAGAAGATGACAGAGTGAGATAGACAAAGCGAAAGATTTAAAAAGGAACCAGAAACATTCAGGTTTAACCCAGATATCATAAAAGCTGTCAAGTTGTTTCGACTGTGTCTTTCATCCAGTGACAAAAAAGAAAATCTCAAAAAAAAAAAATAAATAAATAAAAACTTTCTGTCCTCCAGTCTCACTTTTCTTGTACAAGTTTTGAAAAACTTGAAAGGGCGCTACTTACACTTTCAAGCACTCTCAGACACCTCTCAGCTCCCCACAAAGACTCTACAAGTTTCTCCTTGTCATCTTCCTGGCTCAGGTTCTCCACGCACTCTTTCACTGCAGCAGCACAACGCAAACGGCACACTTGACTTTTCATGTCAATAAACCACAGAGCAGAAGCAATTAAGCAGGAGGATTCAAAACACAGACCTTTGTCCACAATATGGTCCAGGCCTCCTAGCAGGCGAAGTTCTTCTTTGAACCAATCGCCCGCTCTCTTGGAGGTCAGGGATAATAGCGCCTCCATGGCGAGATGACCCGTCTGGACGAGGAGATATGTTTGAGTTTCAGATTGATTAACTATACATTCTATCTCGGATGTCAACATGAAGCATGGAAATGTTTAGAAAAGAAAAAACTAAACATAGACATGCAGATGCAGGATATTTTATGGATTTGTAAACTTTTTATTCATCACTTTTCTGGAGAACTACATACATCAACAATTAAAATTCTTCAATAAGACGCTGAAACTTAGCAATTAAATTCATGATTATTATAGTAGTAAGATGGAGGTAAAAGTAAGATTAGACATCATCACAAGTTTTTAAAGGTCAACCTACCGTGATGTTTTCTAAGTCGAGATGCTTGTTGTGCACGGTCTCGCACAGCTTCCTGATCTTCTCCTTGACCTTTGCCACTTCCTTGGCGGTGAGCTGATCCTGGTCGCCTGAGTAGTCCTGGTCCAGCTCCAGCAGCTTGATCATGAGCTCCAGACACGCCCGGTCCAGATCCATGTTGAGCCGATCTCGACTCAGGATGTACATCAGGGCGGCGGTGCACAGAGCAAGGTTCTGGGGGTGGGGGGAAACGTTTCTTAAGAAAGTTGATTTAATGTTTGTGAAAACTGTCAATTGAAATCCAGTTTAACAACAGATACCAAAGTTAGTTTGTGTTAATTACAATAAGTTACACAATTACAAGAAAGTAGATTAATGAGGCTCCATTTTGTGAGAGAATACGACACCATATTGTAAGCACGTCAAATAGACCTGGCGCTTTCAGGTGATGAAGCTTAATGTAACATTGCATTTATGTGCAACAAATGAACGGACAGACAGACAGAGTGGATGTCAACGTACCGGATGCTGCGGAGCGTCGCTGAGTATCTTGAAGACCTGAGCCACTTTTCCTCGGGCCCGGAGGTGCATCCTGAAACTTGGCATGGCGCACCGTGTGGCCAGGCTGATGATACTGGGAGACAATAAAGTGTGAAAATTACAGTATTATGCATGACTCTTTGCTAAGCCTAAGGGGCCAGAATGAGAGACAGGCTGCCACTGATTCACTTTGCATGTCTACTGTTTAGTCGATTTGCCTAATTCCAAACAAATTATGGAATTAGGCATGAGTTGGTTACAAGAATAAAGATATATCAAGGCTTAGAGAATATTACAGTCTATAAGCCTTATAAACATCGACATCACAGCAGACTGGAAGAGTTTCTCCTCAGAAGTGAAAAAAAAAAAAAAAAAAAAACAAGCAGCGAGCGTCTCCCCTTACCTAAGGCATCTCGTGTTAAGTGGCTGGCTGCTCTTCAGCCCCGTCTCCAGGTACTCAAAGTCATCGGTGAACTCTTGATTCTCTCCAAACTCCACCACGTCGTTGAAGTGCTTCACGTGCTGCACCACCGTGTACAGCTGTTGCAAGAGGAATGGGATTAATTACGGCTAATTGGAAAGCGGCGCGTCTGTCCAGAGACACAATCAGCCGGGGGGAAAACACATTTGCGCCGATATCGATGGAACGGCCCCGCGCCGCTAAGCCCCCTCCGATGGTTCCATTACCGGCTTCTGCTGACTGCGTTAATTTGCCTCATCAATAATAGTTCAAGCGTTAAAGCCTGATCAGCAGTTCCTTCTGCACGTTCACCAGTCGCAATGAGAGAGTCGAGTGTGCTCAGCATGACATAGGATGGACTAACTACAGCATTAGTGTGAGGCAACACCTCTACACTTCAGGTGATCTGTGGCCATGGAGGCCCAGAGTGTAATCTCTGTCCAGGAGGCACATCATTAACCTAAGTAATCTAGGGGGGGGGGACGGGCTGCACAGTGGCGCAGTGGGTAGCGCTGTTGCCTTGCAGCAAGAAGGTCCTGAGTTCGATTATTTCTGCACGGAGTTTGCATGTTCTCCCTGTGCATGCGTGGGTTCTCTCCGGGTTCTCCGGCTTCCTCCCACAGTCCAAAAACATGACTGTCAGGTCAATTGGCCTTCCCAAATTCTCCCTAGGTGTGAGTGTGTGTGTGCATGGTTGTTTGTCCTGTTTGTCTCTCTGTGTTGCCCTGCGATAGACTGGCGACCTGTCCAGGGTGAACCCCACCTCTCGCCCGGAATGCAGCTGGAGATAGACACCAGCACCTCCCGACCCCGTTAGGGAGAAGGGTGCTCTGAAAATGGATGGATGGATGAATCTATGGGGGATTTAAAATTATTGGTAACAATTGTCGTTGAAAAAGCTGACTGGTGCATCTTAAGAAAAAAACAAACAAACAAAAAAAAAACATATTCATAACCTATAAAATAGCTAAACATCAATTGCAGTTACCAGAGATCCATCTCTGTGCCTTCCACTCACCTCTTTGTCTTCTTTCCTGCATTTAAGTGCCGTTACAATCTCTTGGTTGGGCCGTGTGGGGATGGTTTCCGATTTGATGACTTTTGGTGGCGGTGGAGGCGCTTTGAACAAGCCGTCGTCTTTGTGAGAGTTGCTGTCCTTGCTGCCGCTCGACAAAACCGGCTGAAGGAGGAAGTGGAAATGCACACAGAGAGAGAGAGGGGGGAAAAAAAACAGTCTGACCAAAGTAACGAAATCTGTCTAATGGGCACGTCTACAAGGTTTACCGCTGCTTAACAGTTTAGGGGCATGTGTGTAGTAAGTAAGCGCTTTAAGCAGACGTCGGAGGAGATCGAGCAAAGTCAACAGCTAAATTTATGAAAGCCTGTGCCCGAGCACTTTGTCTCTGAACAAATATTTATTTCCATGGGGTAAATTCAGCTCAGAGGGTAAATAAAGAAGCAAAGCTAGACTCACTTGTCCAACTGTATTGGTCAAAACACAAACTTAGAAATTTAAGAAAAAAAGAGCTCCTAATTGGCCTGTTGCAATAAGCATTTAATCAACTAATTGGATGAAAAATTAAACGAAGTTTGATAAAATTCATTGTGATTGGTTTAGAGAGACTTCATAATCCATTTTTTATTGTTTTGGTTCTCCATGGGTTTTATCTGTTTTATTTGTTTTTTTTATTTTAGAGATTTAAATTATCTTCCAGTTTCAGCACTAACTCTTATTTGCAAAATTGAAGTTTATTGATATTTGAGGGGTCAAACTTGTATGATGCTTTTATCAATATGTCACTTGAAGATAGTGTCAAAAGTAACAATATTATCATTTATATCAATAATTAGTGGGACAGTTTATACATGTGTTATCCGAGCTGCCAACTACTGAATAACTTTACGACTGAGAAAACAAATTGAATTCCCTTTGATTTGCATAATATTCCTTAAAGAACATCTCTAACTGAAGAGCAGGCATGCATATTTTCTAAATGACACAACCTTGAAATGCACTTGATTCTTACAGTCTTGACAGATGTAACTAATACAAACGTATGTTCTTACCAGGGCAGTCTGAGATCGAGAAAGTGGAGGCACAGGAATCTCTTCGGGTTCCGGTTGGTTCCAGTGTCGAGCGTTGTACACAGCTTTAGAAGGAGACTGAAAACAAATTTAAATAAAAAAAAAAAGAAAAAAAATCAGATGTCAGTTCAATAGAACGCTAATCATATACTTTTAATGATTAAATAGTAACCGTGAAAAATAGTCGTATACAGTATAAGACAAATTAACAAACTACTTTAAAAGGGTTATTTTTCTTTTACTTCCCTGATGAAAAGAAGTTTGGTACAGAAAAAAAAAATGAAAGCGTTGGTGAAGATTGCTGCCCAGACGGTCAGGTTTAGAAGTTGCTGACCCGGAAAGGCTGACTCATTCATTTCCACCCCTGCTGCAGCATCCTAGTACTTTAGTCATTAACAGAGAGTTGGGGTCACTGAAAAAACATTCATTTTTAAGCAAAAAACTGCTTATTGCGTATCATTTAGTTACGCAATAATCAGCGCCTGAACGAATGTAATCTACAGGAATCAGAACCTGAGCCGCAGTTTTTCTGTTGAAATACGTTTTTTTTTTTTTTCCCTGCTTGTTTTGTTTGTTTTTTGTTTTTAGTCCCCAACACAATTTATTTATTTCAATAAATAGAAGAAAGCTCATTCGGTTGTTTCAATCAGGGCAGCTGTAGGCTCAGTCTGTAGCTGAAGAATCTCCCAGCAGCACAGAAACACATCCTGTAAATAACACATTCTGTGACTCAAGCACACATTGCGCAGGCGATGCACCAACTTATCCTGATGATGGTGATAACGGCAGAGGACAGAGCACAAATAACCCAAAGCCACGGCAAAGTATGATTCAAATAAAACAGGAAAATGTGCTCTGAAAACACCACTAATCAGGACTGAATCATGAAGAAAAAAAAAACCCAAAACAACAAAATAGGAGGTAATAATCTAAACTCTTCACACAACACCCACAATTACAACCAAGCACACATTTACCGTGTTGGTGTTTGGCGTAATTAAAGCTGGACTTTAACATCGGGCGCTTGGCGCGACGAGATGCAACTCAAACATAAATTACAGATGAATCATAGCATTTACTCAGAAAAGTGTCAACAGAACCAGCCTATCAGATTAAGTAGTCTGTAAACAACAGGGGCCTGACTTGTGAAAGAAGCTTCCTGAAGCACTGAGGGCAAAACGGAGTATTGTTATTCTTAAAAGATGAATAAAAACACTAATCTTTTGGGTTTTTAGTTTATGTAATTACTATCATTTATCACTAATTACTTATATCAATGACTGTAATGTATTTTTAGGTTTCCTTTTCCTTCATTTAAAATGACTTTTTTGTCCAAAATGTACAATTAAGTTTAGTTTCATATTCTATATTAACATTTGGTTTTATTTTTATTGCTCCTTGTTTGTAATCTTAGTATTGAGACCCATCAGTTTCTTCAGTCAAGGAATCCAATGCCAACACTGCTAACAGATTTGTGTGCATTTTGCCCACAAATTTTCAGACTTGAGTAACAATACAATGAGAAACCTCTCACAGAAAGTACTAAATAAAGCACGGAAAATCTTTTTTTGGGATAAAAACAGTTTGAATTAGATATGAACAGTTAGAAGAAAAAAAAAGTTACCTTTTTGGGTCCACTGAAAATCTTTTTGAGTCCAGTGGTGGAGTCCTTCGATTTGTCACCTTGCCTTCCTGTTCGCCCTTTCTGGCCCTCAGTGACTCCAGGGCTGGAGTCATCAGAGAAGTCAAAAGCATCTGTTGAAAAAGTCAAGCATGCTCTTTAAATATGCTCAGCTCAAAAAAAAAAAAAAAAAAAAAAAAAGGTAAAAACTTGCGTTTGGTTCATTAATTCAGCGAGGCAACAATGCATCTTGGTGATAAATTTTACATTTGAGAGCTTAAAGGTACCACAGTGGCAAAGAAAAACGCCCTTGTGGGACAGGCAGACATCTTATTCTGCCATTGAATATTTGGTATTGCTTATAGAAATGGCTGGTTAAGATTTTATAGAAGCAAGTTTATTTATTGACTTCACAAAGAGGAACCTCAGTGCAATGCGACATTAAATGACCTCTACCAACAACCATTTAGCACTGGCAGAGAAGATTAGGAAAGTTTTTCTTGTGTAACCCACAAATGCCTTTTCCTTACAGATGCTGCAGCATTTAGAGGAAACAAACAAGCCTTTTAAACACCATAAGATTTGGTTACAAGTAAGACTTTGCCTTTCATCCAATGAAATGGCTTTCTCTACTGTAGAATTACAACCCCTCCCTTGCGGTTGTAGGCTTCACCGTCTTTGTTGATTTAACTTGCTACCAAATAAAAGTGACCCTAAGACAGGTTCCAAACTCAGCTTTGGAAAGATCATGATAAAATTATTTGTCACTTCTTCTTCATATCAGTTTATGCCTCAGAAATATCACCTCTGCTCACCTGTATTGCTGCTGGCTTGACTGTCCTGAGAGTCGCTGGTATGAGGACTGTCAACACTTGAGCTCAGTGCAGCTAAGGCTGCGGCCGCCCTCTTGACCTTCTTCTCTTTGGCCTGAGAGTTCTCATCATCGCTGTCACTCTCGCTAAGGTCATCAAAGCCAAAATATTTGATCTTGTAGCTGCTTTTGCCAGCCATGGCCCCCTCAGAACTCGCATCCTCCCCTTCGCCGTCTTTGTCCTCAAACCCAAAGAACTCCAGTTTGGTCTCGGCCTTGGTCTTCTTTGTCTTTGTCTGGACAGGCCTAAACCTAAAAAAAATAAATAAATAAAAATAAAAACAGTAGAATCAACATTACTTCAAAAATATAATCTGTGCAATTGAGATTTTTTTCCTGCTTAGTTTATTATATTTAATTCCAAGGATTCTTCTATGTGATTTATATCAAATTAATTCAATAAACTAACATTTAGAAGAAAAGAGAACAAGTATATGTCATTTTTGAGTGAAAAAGTAACTATTTTGCAAGAGAACAACCTCCAAGTACTGCTTGTTGTTTTAGGGTAAATGCATTGAACAGACAAACAGTGCAAGGCAACTTCAAACACTGACTATTGCTGTCACATTTCTGCTTTTAGAAGTTATAGAAGAGAGTAAACATGGAACGCTAAAGGTGACACTTTAATAATAAAGACAAAACAAAACAAAAAACAGAACAGGGTCCAACTTGTGTATGAACTAATCGTATTGCCAAGATACAGCAAACATCATAAACTTAGAATATCCAAGGTGTGACATCTAAATCTAAAAACGAAAACATAAAAAAAGAAAGTAACCTACCGAGTCGGTTTAGGTGGTTGTGTGTCCGACTTCTTCTTCATCTGACCTGCCTCTCCCAGGTCAGCGGGGGTGGGCTGTGCCACGAGTTCGTCGATGCTGCGGTCCATTGAGTCCTGGATGGTGACATTGCACACTGACAAACAGGACGGGTGCAGAACTGTGTAGTCTCGCACCCTCCCACCACCCCTGCCTGCGGGCTTGGCTGCTGTGTTAGCACTGGCAGCAGTACCACTTGCGCTAGCAGAAAGGACACTATTGGATTTATCTTGGGCACTCGAGGGGTCAATGGGCTTGTCACTGTTGCTGTCGCTGAATTCAGCAAGTGCTTTGTGAGACCGGTGGGGTCGTTGGTATTTCTTGCAGTTTGAGGCCCTTAAGGTAAACGGGGAAGGGGGAATGTTGTCCACCAGTTCTGGTGGGGGCTCTGTGGAAAGCTCCTGGTCCACACTTTTCATTTCCTCCGACAGGGATCCGTCATAAGAGCATGCAGGTTGGATGTTGTGCATTCCTCCAGGTACGTTTACTGACATGGTGGCATCCAAGTTAGAAAAGGAGGAAACCGGCATCTGTGATAGTGACAAGTTTTCGTTGTCAAAGAGGACGGTCTCTGAGACGTAGGTCACATATACAGGTTTTTGGGTGCCGGCCAATGCACTTTTGTACCACGGCTGATTGTTTTTAACATCCTTTTCTGATGTCTGCTTATCTGTGAAGAGAGAAGAAATACATGACTGTTATGCAACATTACAATTGAAAATATTTTCAAGAAGTCTTGGTTGATTACATACATTTTGGTTTTTAAAATGACAACTTTTCATGCATGAAGCCAACAAAATCATGGTCACGCTTCACTCCCCAACAGGCCCTTTCTACAAGTGGTTACTTACTTGTCAATGTTGCCGTTATACTTGCAGAAGCCTGTGCTGATGTCACAACAGCAGCAGTCACTCTGCTCTGCGCTGTAACCGTTTTTGGTACGGTCTCTTCTGGCATCTTCATTTCAGAAACATTTTCGGAGGTCACAGTCTTGGACTCTTCATCGCTGTCAAAACCAAACGGGTCTTCGCTGTCGCTGTCCTCAAGCCTGGGCCTCTTGGAGACCTCAGTTGCTCCAGGTTTTAATAAAGGCTTTTTGCCTCCAAGCTGTGCCTTGTAGGTGGTCTCCCCCCATTTGGTGGTCAGGGTGGGCTTCTTGTTGGAGAAAACCTCTTCAAATTTGGAATTCGCCTCCCCTCCCTTGCGGTTGTAGGTTTTACCGAATCTGGATGTCATGTTGGTTGCTGTATGTTACATATTCTCTGCAAACACAGAAAGAAGTATCACCAAAAGTTATGCATTCTATTCACCAGTTTATAACCTAGGTCCTCAGTGCCTAAATAGTTCAGGTTTGAAATGGATTAGTGTAGGATTCAGTTTATACTTCCAAGGGTAACATATATAAATACTTTGACCATCAATGTTTAAAAAAGAAAAAATATGAAAATAAATACATACATATATTTGCTGTCCTAATCTGACATGTTTGATATGATGCACATAAGACACAGATCCAAAGAAGGAATTAAAATAAGAACAAAAAGATGGAACCAGGTTATGACACAGATTTCAATAAATAACAAACACTTAAAGTTATGATATTTCAGAGTTGTTATACTTTTAAACTTTCATTTCTACAGTCTAAACTTTACCCTTATTCCAACCCAGTGTTTCTCCTTATGTGGACCGAAGCCTGGTCCCCACAAGGAGCAGTGGGACCCCACAACATAGTATGTGTCACATAATGTGTGTAATACCAACAAGGTAACAAAAACAAACACTCGTGCGCGCACACACACACAAACACATACAAAGGGTGTTTGTTTGTTGTTGTTTTTTTACATGCGAGTGTTCCAACAGTGCTAAAAACTTTTGAGATTTAACAAATTATTTTTGGACCACAACAGAACTTAAGCACGTGCTAACAAATTACATCGGGGGAAAAAAAATCAGGTGACACTGAACCTGAATCTTTTAAACTCAGCAGGTAATTTCTGGTTTTAAATAGTAATGTTTACTATCTATGGCTGAAAATTAAAGGCATTTAATATGCTTTAATAAGAAAAAACAAGTATTTGGAATACTTGATAGCATTATTTGCTTTATATTCGACAGCTATAGAGCTATATTGTTTGTAATCACGTACTAACCTACGCAAAAACAAAAATCTGACATATTGATAATTTTATGTAGCTAATATAAACACAGAAATTCAAATTACAAGCAACATCACTTCTATATATAAAACAAGCGACACATATTACATTTTAATAAATTCTGCATAACATATATTCAATGACAGGAGATATTCTGTAAGCCAATTTGGCAAAGTTGAACCAACTGTTAGTTGATAGCACACCAAGTTAGCATTGTCAGCTCAAGCTTTTGGTGAAAATCGGTCAAGTGTTCTCCAAACAACACACAAACAGAAGGCTTTTTGTAAACCAAAATAAAGCTAAGAGGTTAGATAAATTATCTCCGAGGCACAGTACCGGAGCAGATAACTTATCTACGCCTGTTAAGTCCAGACTGGCCCGCATGTAAAGTTAACTGCTGTGAAGTTAGCCATTAGCCGTTAGCTTCAGCACTGATAACTACTAGGCTAATGTAAGTCTCTTGTTTACATTTCTAACCTGGCAACATCAGACGGGGAAAAGCGTGCTTTTTCACAGACGACCAAGTGCACGGATATACGGAACTGAATATATATAATGATATACAAAGTAACAGTGAGTCAAACAATAACTGGGGCATACTATACCTTTCAACTCAAGCTAACCGTCTGCTTGTCTCCTAGCCAGCCGGTTAGGCCTGATCAGCTACTCACGCACAAATCAAGCGGGTAAAGTCGGTGCACTGCTGCAGAAAGAGCTCTAAAAACACATCTCTATCCGAAATATTATTTTATCGCATTGCAAGATATAAAAGGAAATCTTAACAAATGCAAGCGAAGCTACACCAGTTCAATGATAAAGAATAATCCGGAGTTTTTCCATGTTGAAGTGCTACTGACTGCCATTAAAATACCCCCTCCCTCCGCGACGTTTGGCACTCTACTGCGCTGCCTACTTAGAACATGACTGACCTATCAGCAACAAGAGCGCTTGCCTGCACTGTGAGGCTGTGTCAGCATCTCTGATTGGTTAAAAAAAGTCAAAATAAACCACAGGGGGCGCTGAAGGATTGTATTTGTTGAGAATTTTGGATTATGCCAAATTTGTTTTATATTCTATGAGAATTAAAGAAGATATATAAAATAAAATTTTATGCAATTAAAATGACAGAGAACAAAAGTTTGTAAGTAAATCAAATTTGTACAAAAAGAGACTACAACATGATCATTATATAAAGACTCCATTATCAGAATAGATTTTTTTTCTTACTGTAATTATCAGTTATTTAGGTTTTATTTATTTGAGTGGTGTTTGCTTCCTTGAAACTAACCTCATCTGACTTAAAAATTAGTTTTTTACCCACAAACCTTAGTTTTAGTTGTATCCAATGTCTTGAATCTGAGATAAAACTACTTACACCCATATAGAATATGTTAGATCTTTTGTACCAAACAATGCAATTCTGACACTTAGTGTAGTGGTATTAAAGAATGCCAACAAATAAATAAAATTATATTAATAAAAGTGTTAAAAAGTAACTGAATACAGTCGACAAAGGCTACAAGGTTTGCAGTTTATTTGGGCAAACAACCAAAGCTGAAACAAAGAGTCTGCAACAGATTATCATATTTTAAAACGGTTTACAGATGGCACCATGCAAAATTAAAATAACCAAAAAGCTATGAGTAAAAATGACCGTTTCTTCAGGAAGATTGATGGCAACGCATTTAAAATCCCAAAGATATACCCTGAAAAAGCAATTGGATATGAATGATCATATCACAGTGGAAGTGTAATGTTCACTTTTAGTATTATATTCTCTGTAGAGAATGTAAAGATAAAACGAGCTGTAATTTTTTGATTTGTTCTCCATGCGACCAAAGGTTTGTTTTGAAAACTTGCTTAACTCACTCTTGAGACCCTTTCAAAGTGCTCTGACCAGCACCACTGACACCAGCAGGGGCAGTGGTGCTGGCACTGCTGAGGCACACCATGAATACTGCCCTGTGAGCCTGCTTAGCAGCATGGTCCTGCTGTATTGACACTGAAAAACACATTTGTCAGACAGACATCACTACATTTCCTTCAGGCTGAGGAGGTCTGTGTGAAAATGGCTGGCCTTTGCTCCAAAAGGCAAAACAAACACACCCAAATATATGTGTATCTATATAAATACACATTATGAACTTGTCATAAAGAAGATAAAAGCACATCTCAATCCTGTTTTGTATGAAGACCTTGTCAAACCTCTTTGTTGAACATAACAATGAGCTCACTGTAGTGCAGCAGTGATCTCCACAGTGGACTGATCTTCATCTAGCAGAATTTCTTTGGGCTTTGTCGACACGAGACATTTGCATTACAGACAGATCAGAATTAAGTGCAGGACACCATCAAGTCGATATGGACCAAAATGTCTGAGGAAGGTCTCTTGATTGGTGAACTTGTTGGTGAACTTCCACAAGTAATTAAAGCACTTCTACATGCATCCCTGACTTTGTTAGTCAGGGATAAGTGAAGTGTAGCCTAATAAAGCTGTGACCAAGTGCAAATTTGAACAAGGCTTAATTTTTCAGATGGGAAATGGCTCGCAGTTATTTTGTAAGTTAAGGTACTCTCAGTCCTTTGTTAAATTTCGATAACGACAACACTGCACTCATATGGTGTGAAGCACACATTTTCCAAGCATTTAGATCATTTTGGACCCATAGAAAATCTGTCAGTCCACATCACAGCCCAGAGGAGGTGAGGTAATACAGCCATGCCCTGCATGACTGTTATGAACTCAGGTTTTGGCAGGTGTGAAGTAATTACCTCACCAACAAGTAAACATTACAGCAGAGTCCAATGTTCTGTACTTTTACAGTTATCTTTAAATGTCCAGAAACATTTGATCGAATAAGTCGGGAATGCGCGCAGCTGCCAACGGGAAGCAAACAACAACAAAGAATCTTTGAGTTTAACATCTGCGCAAACTATTTGAAACAGGCTTGGTCCATTAAAGAAATGCAACTTTGAGAGAGAACCAGAAGGTGGCAGCACTACTTATCTTATCTCATCTCCTTTTGTTTAGTTTTACGTTCCTCTTTGTGTCCAAATCTAAACACAGATTTGTCAACTGGATCAATATAAAAGTCAAGGAATTGTGCCTAAATACAGTTCATGATTTGTCATACATGTGAGATTCTGACCATCACTGGAAAGTAGTTATAAAAAAGAATATGGAGGATGAAAACGGAAAAAGAGAAGGCCGAATAAACGTCCAATGCTTACTAGAGACATGCCCTGCAAGTCAAATGTGAAAAGTGGGAAATGAATCACTGAAACGACAGGAAAGGAAATTTCTTGTTTTTTTTCTCCAGCCAATAGTCAAAGAAGTTGAGGTTTGACTTCCTCTTTTTAGAGCTGACCCATTACAAAATCCATAAATATAACCAATGACAAAGTAAAACAAAGAAAAATAAAAAGGATATATGTTTTTTTTTTTGCTTTGATTTCACATGTAATTTATATTTCCAAATAAATCAAATCATTCTTAGCTTATTTTTTTATTGTTTGGCATCCGTGCAAGATCTCCATAGTTCTCATGAAGTTTTCTTTGTAATCTCTGTCCAAAATTAATGTGGTAAACACCACTCAACACCACTGTGCTTATTCATACAAAGCCCTCATCTGTGACCACTGCATTGTGGGTCAGATCTCCACTTGGCTCGCACGTCTGTCTCTGAGGTCAGTCTGCACAGTCCCTGGACCAACAACTGCAGCAGACCACTATCAAACCCATATGAAGGCAATAAAAACAAATCCAAAGCAGACCCTGATTGGCTCTGAGCCCCTGACCCCCCAACCCATTTCCTTCTTTGTGTTTGCATTCACATGAGGAGAAAAGGCCAAAACCGCTGTACACACACGCGCACACAAAGAAAATATTGATACATCAGCCTTGGTGCTTGTTCTCTTCCAAGAGAGTGTGTATGCAAAACCCTCTGGAAAAAGATGGAAAGAAAACAAGAAAGTCAGCATGCCAAATGTCAAAACAAATGTTGGTAAACCCTTTATTTTCATTTCTGTATACATCACATATTTAAAAACAACATTGTACAGTACATTGAAAAAGGAGTCTTAAAAAAAAAACAATTGTACAAATCAGATTTGCTCAGCGAGTTTCGACACCGCTTGAAAAAAGCTGCGGGTCTCACTGAGCTACAGTCCACGTTAAAAAGACAAATAAGATAATAACCAAGGTTTTATGTTTTTGATCAAACAGTAGTAGCATTGATAAAAGCATTATTGAGGGCTAAAAGTGAAGACACAAGCAGATAAACAAAAGTACAGCACTGCTTTTAGAGCGTCTGCACAGTCGTTCCTTTCAAGGCACAGCCAGGAGTTTCCCTGGATGGATGCGTGGTGCTGCTGGGCCTTTAGTCATAGATGGGTGGGTCAGCTGCAGGTCCCCGCTATAGAAGGTCCTCTGGATGATAAGTTAAACCTAACTCCAGCTCCTTATGAAGGGTCAAGGGTCGATTTCCACTGGAACAACAGTGAGGATGGCATCCTCGTTGCCGCGGCGTACAACTATTTTCAGGGTGTCATTATTCTTGATAGCGGAGCTGACGTCAGTCGCTGTCGAAATCCTCTGGCCGTTGATGGAGATGATGACATCGTGCTCCTTGAGCCCGCCACTGAAGGAAAAGATGAGGAGATTTAGACTTATTTAGGGCTTCGAATGCTGCAACCGCATGTTGGCTAGAAGAGAAAATATTGATTTACAGAACTGATTGCCTGTGTTGGGGGATGTGATATTTTGTTGCGCAAGACTGAGGCAGACAAATGGTTAAAAAAGTATTCCTGCTTCATCTCACCTGAATTTCTTGCTATCTCTTCGGGCATTTTTTGACGTCAGTACAGGGCACAGATCAGACAAGACAGAAAGCTCTTACAGCCGGATTCAGTTTGAAGCTATTTTCAACACTGGCAAAAACAGGCCCAGCTGCTAACCTGGGCCGAGTCACTCTAATATCTTCAAAAGAGTTTTATTCCAGGTAATTAAGTTATTTTCTTTGTCAAAGCAATAAAAATTGAGGCCAAACCAACAGAAGTGTTTTGCTTATAAAAATCAAAAAAGTTTGACGGAGTTTTGATCTCAGATTCCCTGAGTCAGTGTTTAGCAGAAGGACCTTTTGCAGTATTTACAATAAAAAGGTTTTTTTAGTATTTAACAGGGTGTCTTACAAAGGCCACTTGCATTTAGCTTCCTCTGAACTTTGACCTATCTTTCCCATCCCTTTTGGAGCAAAGCACTTTCATAGCATATCACTTTCACTGGGTTATATGAAGAATTGGGTCAAAATGTTTATATATGTAGGCAAAAATGTTTGATTTTGGTCTCATCTGACCACGGCACATCCTTAAATGTCACTTGTGACTAGCTTAAGAAAGGAACTTGAGTCAACTATGGCTTTTTTTTTTTGTGGCCAACAACTGACCTTTCAACAGATTCTCCCATCTGTGGCTCGTTACAGTTTGTCTAGAGTTACCATGGGCCTCTTGGCTGCTGATCTAACATGCTCTTTTTGGTCACTCTGCCAGGTTAGGTGATGGGCCATGTCTTGTTAGGTTTGGCGTTCTTCCATTCTCCTTACATTTATGGATGACGTGTCAAACAGTGGCTTGTGAGAATTACAAAGCTTGGAATGTTTTTTAAAACTCATAACCTTTAGACATCTTTATTGATGATCTCTCTGCCGACCCCCTGACATTTGTGATCCCGTTTGTTCACCAACAGATCTCGAAGGCATTCACAGAACCGAACTGCTGCGTATCTGTCAATCAATTTCAGACCATCAACCAGTTAAATCCTCCAGTTCTTCTGGGACTGGGGATACCAAGGCGTTCCCAGTCCAAATAGCAGATGTAATCTCTTGGCCAGCA